ATTGAACTACACCCACGTCCTTAATTAAGGACGTGATGATTCAATGCCAGGTGAATAGTACTCAGCACTCCACTCTTAGTCAAGTGAATAAGAGAAAGGTTTTTATAACTGGCCACTGAGTGGCTTTGAAACTAAACAAACTTTTCTCCTTTACTGCCTTCGGGTTTCCTTGGACTTTTCCTTCCTCTTGGTTACTACATAGGTAACCCTGTGTTTCTTTTCCTTCCTTCCTTCCTCCCTTCCTTCCTTCCTCCCTCCAAGGCTCTTTTAATACAAATTCATACTTTTTCTTACAGTTTTTTCTTAATATGTTCAGCATTCAGAAGGCTTAGGTGTGGTTTCAAGTTTGAGGCCCACTATGGTTACTGGAGGCTGATGACTTGCTGACTCTGCCCAAAGATTTTCCCAACTCTGCCCTCTAGCAACCTGACACTTGGGGTGGGGAACTAGGGAGGGAGGCAGAGGCCGAGGGAGGGTTTGCAGGGAACAGGAAGCCAGAGCAGGGCCAGGCTGCAGCACCAGCAAGCAGGCAGCTTCCCATCTCAATCAGAAGGGCCCTAGTTTAAGTAGCAGCTGCCTCTGTGGCGCTGCCTTGCCTTGCTTGGTCTTGTGGGGTCTCATGAGTCAGGCCCTCAGAATGGATGGCAGTCTCTGCGATGACTGTTCGGAAGCAGACGTAGCGGCTGTCCCTCATTGCTCTGGTGTTTTACTCTGCTGGTGCTTGGGCTGGGATTGGTACTCATTGTCAAGACAGGAGTCACTGCATTGCCATTCTTTTATCAGCAGATCAATTAAAGCTGCTAAAGTAGGCTGAACTCTCCAGTTTTGTTAATACAGCCCTTATAGCAGCTGAGGGCAGTGATTCAGAGCTGAATCATCCCATCCAGAAACTCCAGAAATAGGAAAATAGAGACTGTCACGAAGGAAGCCTCCCTATTCATCCATTCTTTTTCTCCAGTTTCAGAAGATTTTACCTAGTCTTTCTTAGCCAGTGAAACTGTCACCGAGCATGTTTACCAAGTGCCTGCTGTGTGGCTAGCGCTGTAATTGGCCCCCAGAGTGAGCACCAGGCCTCTTTGGCCTGATTTTGAGATAATACAAGAAGTAAGTCAGGGAAAGATTTTTGGAAGATGGCAGAATTCAGAGGTGCTCCAAATTCCCACTTATCGATGAAGTTCTCCCTCTGGCCGGGATAGTCATAAACATGACTTTGGCATTTAAGAGTCTCATTCTTTGACAGTTGGATCTCTCTGGAAGTTAAGGGAGCTGTGTGCCCAGATACAGGCAGAGCTCGCTCAGCTAGTGTTTCCTTTTCTCCCAGCAAACTTGCTGGCTTTGAAGCAGAGCCCAGAGCCTCCTTTTTCTGAAGAATGGGTATGGGGGGGGGGCTGGGCTGCTAATCCCAAATGATTTAATTGAGGGGATGAACTTGCTATTGGAAGAATTTGCCTTTCTGAATGGTATGAAGACAAATGTTGTCATAAATGAAAAATAACAAAAAAGAAGAGCTTCTTTTAAAATAGGAAAATGTGTTTAATTTTCCTGGCAGATTTTTTACCCCTCTTGGTTTCATTTAGAAGTCCTGAAGCCAGTGGACTGTGTCATTTGAGTTATGCAGAATCTAGACCCAAGCTTGTAATTCCATCCCAGTCTCCTGGAGGCCACAAATTGGGGAGATGAGGTAGAACATGGCCTGGCTTGGCCCAGCCCAGCAGCCCCAGGCCTGCCACTCGGATCCACATTGGGTCAGTAGCTTCTCTGACTAAAACTGGTCAATGTTTGGCTTTGTCTGGTGCTTCATAAACCTCAAAGTGCTAAGTGCCATCTGCTGTTACAGAGGGGACAGGGTAGCACAGTGCATAGAGCACAGGGCTTGGGTCCCTCTTGTAGTCTGGGAAAAACAAAAAGCACTTTTGTGAAGGCCTTTCCTGAAAAATTGTCTCTGTTCTAGATGTGCCCCCTTCCCCTTGCCTGGCATCGTCCCTTTTCTGGCATTTTCTATGCTGGAAACTTTTGTGCTATAAACCTCCATGCCCTGTGCAGGCTTGCTAATTGGCCCCTACCTGTGTTCCACTCAAGTTAGGAAACCAGTCAGACATGCCCGATGGCCACCCCTCCCCATCCCCAAGGGACAACTCCCAGATCTATAGCTTTCTCTCACAAGCCCCTGGTTTCTCATCTGACCTCCAGACTCGTATCTTCAGCCAACTACAAAATAGTGCCCCATTGGTACTTCGAAGTCAAGATATCCAAAACTGGGCAGCTAGGTGGTACAGTGGATAGAGCACCGGCCCTGAAGTCAGGAGGACCTGAGTTCAAATCCAGCCTCAGACCAAACACTTGACACTTACTAGCTGTGTGACCGTGGGCAAGTCACTTAACCCCAGTTGTCTAAAAAAAACAAACAAAAAACAAAAACCAAAAAAAGATATCCAAAACCCAACTTATTATCATTGCCTCTCAACCTCCTTTTAATGCCGCTTTCTATCATTGGCATCAACATCATCCCTCTCCTTCACTATTCATGTCCCATTAGTTAATGCCTCCCATTGAGGCTCCCCCCTGCAGCATCTATCACATCCATCTCTTTTGCTCTACTCTTACCTTGACCATCAGGACAGATGCATGTTACCACTTGCCTGGGGAATTGCATTAGCTTCATCACAGGCCCTCCAGCCTCCACCATCTTCCTTTGTACAGATAGCAGAATAATATCCTCATATCTGGAGCCAATGGTCACCTTCCTCCTTTGTTCAGACATTCGCAGTGATTACCTGATGACTGAAGTTGAGCCTTCTTTGCCTTGCATTCAGGGCCTTTTACCATCTGACAGCACCCTTTCATGTGTTCTGTGCTCCTGTTGTGCTTCCATCCTTGGACCTTCACTCAGTCTTTTCCCTGCTTCTAGAATGAACTTGTTCCCTTTCCTTGCCTGTTGAATCCGTACTCATTCTTTTAAGTATAGCTGAAATGCCCTGTCCTCAGTGAAGCCTCCCCTACTGTTGGTGGTGATCTTGCTCAGATATCCTATAGCACTTTGCTTGGAAACTCTCAAATATGCTTTTAACATATTGTCTATTCCAGCAAACGATGCTTGTTTCTTATCCTGTTGTTATACTGTTAGCTCCTTGAGAACAGGTATTACATCTTCACTAAACTGTTCATCTCTCTTAGGGCTTAGTGTACAGTGTTCTGTGCTCAGGAGGCCCATAGCAAATAATTAAATTATCAAATCAAGTTCCGCACAAAGAAGTCATGGTTCATCAAATCCAAATTTGAGGTACTCATGCAGTGTGCCATTTTGAAGTCTTTCTAGGGCATTCCATAAATCCTGGAAATATTAGTAGCTGGCTGCCCTTAGGTGGGTCAGGATTTGTGAGGCTTTCTTTGTAGATAAAGGAGACTGGTTTTACCCATTTGCACCAAAATGTTTTTCAGAAAATAAAGCTGGTTAAATAAAGTAAACATCTTCAAGCTTAAACCAGGGTTGTGATTGTTTTCCAGTTGAAAATAGAAGGTATGGGGGCAGCTAGGTGGCGCAGTGGATAGAGCACCGGCCCTGGATTCAGGAGGACCTGAGTTCAAATCCGGCCTCAGACACATAACACTTACTAGCTGTGTTACCCTGGGCAAGTCACTTAACCCCATTGCCTAGCCAAAAAAAAAAAATTAAAAAAAAAAAGAAAATAGAAGGCATGTGTGACAACCTCTGGGCCATTTGGTGGCCTTGTAGCCCAAGGATTCACTAACATATATGATGGTAGCAAAGGCTAACGTGTTGGCTGGTTAGGAGCACCTGCATGCCTTGACTTTTCATAGACTTCTCACCTACTCTTCCTAGCATCTACTGGCGTGTTCTTGCACATCTTCCTTTTTTTTTCCTTCCCACCAGGTCATTGGTTCCAGGACATTGTATTCCTGGGGACTAGGGTACCTCTTGAAGTATGTTTTGGTTCTGTCAGTAGCAGTAATCATTCATGTGTGTGTGTGTGTGTGTGTGTGTGTCTCTATGTGTGTATAATTCTGTAATTCTGAACTTAGACAAAGAGACATTTTTCCATTTTCATTTACCATAGATCTTAATTATACAGTTTGCTTTTTTTTTAAAGCATGCAGCAAATTTGGTTTATGAACTTTCAAACTTTCTTGCTTGTCTGTGGTTCCTTCCCCCCATCCCCACCCCTTCCCCCCAATTCTACTCATTTGAAAAGCAAAGCCAAAGCCCTTGGAACAAATGTGAAGTAGAGAAAAACAAATTCCCATATCGGTCGTGTCCCAAGATGCAAACTCCTTCTGCACTCTGAGGTGAAGCTGTCAAGCTGTCAGCATGGTTCTTCTCACACTGGCCGTTGTAATTTTTAATTTTTCAGAATATTTGTTTCCATATCCATTGGAATTTGCTTGTGAGTCAGGGAGGCCAGGATAATCATTCCCATTTGACAGAAAAGGAAACTGACACTTGGAGACATGAAGTGACTTGTTCAGAGTCACGAAGCTCTTTCATAGCAGCATGAATCCCCAAGTTTGGCTCTACCAGTCCTATGCCCTTTCCATTAGGCTACATTGCCTCTCAATATCATATTGAAAGTTGCTTAAAATAAATGGAATGTTGGTGGGGATTGGAAATCTTTATGTTATGGGTAAAACAGATTTGACCTGGGAATCTTAAAATGCAGCGTTAAGTGTGTTGATGGCACTGTTGGGAGCGTCGTTATCGAGTTGAATGCAGTGGGTCAGCAGCCATCCCCCCTTTTTGTCTCTTTGTATCCTTGGCACTCAGTCTACTGCCTTGCACATAGTAGGCACTTAGAAAATGTTGGCTAAATTAAGTCTTTCTCTTGGCTGTCTCTCAGCTCTCTGTCCTCATACTGCAATCCATGGATGAGCTTGTCTATCAGAGAATTATTAAGAAGGCAGATAATCAGAGGGGAGGGGCAGGGACCTGCAGAGAAGATCAGAAACAAACAGATTCTTCCTTTTCTCCTTTGTTCTCCTGATAGAAAAAGGTTGACCCTCCTCCATGCACCAATCCTTTTCTGGAAGACGAGCCTGGCTCCGAAATGGAGGAGTTGCCGATGGACAAAGGGGACTTAGAGCAGGTAAGTGCAGACCACTGTGCAATCCTTTGAACAGCCTGATATTTAAATCTAAAAATAGTATGACCAGTGACCAATGTGTACTTGATGAGGAAGCAGCTTTGGCAGCCTTTATGTAATTTCTCCACTTGAAAGTACATCTAACAAAATAATGAAAAAAGCAGCCTTTGCTCCGTCTCCGTGCTCTAGAGGGGTCTCTGGATTCCTACCACTGAAAGGATTGACGTGTGCAAGCATAATTAGCCCATCTGGAAGAGCAAACAAAATTCTCTTCTGCCTCATTCATCATCCCCTGAAATTGTCAGCTCACTTTTCTGTTGCACCGTCATCTGTTTTGGTGGTGATGTGAGATAGTGAAAGATCACTGCTTGGCTTTCAAATTTCTTCTCTTTTTTTAAAATTAAATTAAATTTTTTTTTGTTTCATTGTAAGTTCCAAACTGTCTCTCTCCCTCTTTTCTTCCTTCCCCACCCCGACCCAGAGAAGGCCAACATTTGACACAGTAAAACCATACTATATATACTTCTGTTTATCAGTTCTGTCTCTGGAGGTGGATAACATCTTCCTTCATAGGTGCTTTATAGTTGATTTGAGTGTTTATAATACTCAAAATAACTTAGTGGGGACAGCTAGGTGGCGCAGTGGATAGAGCACTGGCCCTGGATTCAGAAGGACCTGAGTTCAGATCCGGCCTCAGACACATAACACTTACTAGCTGTGTGACCCTGGGCAAGTCACTTAACCCCTATTGCCCAACCAAAAAAAAAAATCCAAATAAACAAAAAAACAGAATAACTCAGTCGTTTGCAGTTATTCTTCAAACAGTTGCTGTTAGTGTGTACAATGTTCTCTTGGTTCTGCTCATTTCACTCTATTATTTCATTCAAGTCTTTCCCATGTTTTTCTAAAATCAATTTGCTCATCATTTCTTATAGCATAGTGGTATTCCATCACAATCATATACCACAACTTGTTTAGCTATTCCCCAATTGATGGGCATCCCCTCGGTTTCTAGTTCTTTGCTACCACGAAGAGAATTGTGGTAAATATTTCAGAACATATACATTCTTTTCCTTTTTCCCTGTTCACCTTGGGAAAAACCTAATAGTGGTATTGCTGAGTCAGAAGATATACACAGTTTTATAACCATTTAGGCATAATTCCAGATTGCTCTCCAGAATGGTTGGATTAGTTTGCAATTCCACCAGCAATGTTTTACTATCTCAATTTTTTCATGTTCTCTCCAGCATTTGTCATTTTTCCCTTCCATCATCTTAGTCAATCTGATAGGTGTGAGATGACATCTCAAATTTGTTTTAATTTGCATTTCTTTAATCAATAATGATTTAGCATTTTTTATGTGACTAGGTATAGTTTTGATTTCTTCATCAGAAAATTGCCTGTTCATATCCTTTGACTATTTATCAATTGGGAAATGACTCATTGTCTCATAAATTTGACAAAGTTCTCTATGTATTTGAGATATGAGACCTTTATCCAAGAAACTATAAATTTTTTCCCCTGATTTTCTGCTTTCCTTCTAATCTTGACTATATTGGTTTTATTTGTACAAAACTGACTTTCAAATTTCCAGGGAAGTTTGCAGTCCCCGGGGAAAGAGAAGGAAGGGTCTCAGTTGAATTATCAGCTGATCACTAGAGAGAAAAGCCGTTGTGCAGGCCTGGAAATTACAGAGGGGACCAATGGCGGATGAGGAGAGGGACTCTCAATTTCCTCTTTGCCTTTGTGTTCAACTCCAGACTTCTCCCCTTCTATCCTACTACATGCCAGTTTATGACAGGAGAGGCCAGAGCAGGAAATCAGGTCTTTTCCTTTGATTTATTAGTGACACTTGTCATTTAACTAGCTTCTCTTGGCTGTTGGGTGCTTATTTCTTGATGACATTTTGGTTCATTCACAAGGTGAATGGGGAGGGCAACCTAGGGAGCCATCTCTGGGCCCTTGAAAACAGTGGGCTTTTCAGGTAGTATTCCCCTTTTCCCACTGTGAGGAAGTAATTGTGTGGGTGCTGCATCATGCCATAGAGCCCTCAGGCCTTCTAGAATCTGTTTCTGAAGGGATGCTGATTATTTCTGTCTTGCCATTTGGGTAAATGGGGATGGGAGTGGGGGAACAAGAAATGAAATGTTACATTCTGAAAATCTCTTTAGAAAGATATCAGCTGCTCAGAAGTCCTCGTATTATTGTCCGGCATTGTCCAAAACCAGAGGTTTCTTCAAAACCAAATGATAACATTTTCACATTTTGCTGAAACAGATTCAGATACAGAGGGGATAAGAGGAGGGCTGTCCTCAGAGAGTAGAATGACATTCTCGGACAGCCCCAGACCACCTGGGCCCCTCTGGCTTCTTGTGGCTGTCATGTTTGCCTAGATTTTTGAGAGTGACGTTCACAGGGTCATCCTGCCTTCCTTCTTCCACGTGTTCTAGAGGGAAATGATTATGATGCCTTGGGCAGTGATTGCTTTTGCTGGACCTTAATCCTGATTCTTAGCTAGTTCTTTCTTTCTCTTTTTTTCATTATTTTATTTTGATTTATCAACAATCACTTCCATATGGTTTTGGGTTAAAAATTTTTCTCCCTCTCCTTCTCCACCCCCCCCCCCCAAATCCAATCTGATATAGGCTATCCATATACATTCCAGTTAAACATATATTCACATTAGTGATGTTGTAAGTAAGAATTAGAACAAATAGGAGGAACCACCAGAAAGAGGAAATAAAATTCAACAGAAGGAAAAAAATAGCAAATAGTGTACTTTGATCTGCATTCAAACTCCATAGTTCTTTCTTTGGGTGTGGACAGCATTTTCCATCATGAGGCCTTTGGAGGTGTCTTAGATCCTTGCATTGCTGGGAAGGGTTAAGTTTATCAATATTAGTCATCACACAACGTGGCTGTTATTGTGTACAATGTTTTCCTGGTTCTGCTCACTTCACTCAGCATCTTAGCTAGTTATTTCTAGGCATTCTGGAACTGGCTTATATGGAAGTGAGTTGTAGGTTGCCTACCAAATCAGTAGTACCACGAAAAATGTAACTTCCCAGCTTTGGCAGGTGGCTGGCTCCTGTGGACACTGCCAACCTGAGAACAGGTGCATTTGCTGGTGAAGGGTGCTGACAGGGCAAACATACATCAGCAGGCAGGGCTTCACAAGTTTCCTAGGAGTTTTATCGTCATCACTAAAGCTTATAGACTGGATGCTTCCACATATCATTCCTGATCTCCTTCCCACCCCAGATGTAGCAAGTCAGCAGCAGTTAGAAAGAGGAAGTGAAATCACCTTCCCCCGACAGCTTCTCTGATCCTTCTTTGGGGCGTGTTTAGGGAGGTGGGCTAGTGAGGGTAGGAACCCTGTGATTAATGTCACTTGACTGCACGATGCTAATAGGACATTTAGCCCTAAGAACTAAGGGGGAACATAGCTTTCATCCACCTCGGGGGCCAACTGAAGGCCAACGGTATTGCTAGTCATCGAGGCAGTTAGCATTTCTGGGCTTTAGGGGAGGGCAGAGCTCACTGTGGAGACAATGCTGGGAGAAGAGACTACATTTGAGAAGGGGGAGGAATTGGACTGGGTTTCAGAGGGGATTTGGGAGGTCGTTCAGTTCTTTGTAGTCTCAGCACTTGGTACAATACCTGCACATAGTGGGCACTCAATAAAGGCTTATTGACTTGACCAAAGGGCATGAGGGCATCATGATAAAAAGGGGCAGGGCAAGAAAGAAGAAATTCATGGTCTCAAGTACACCCTTTTGGGGATCTGAGCAGTTTGATTTGATCTGTTTATGTTGGATGGTAATCAAAGGAAACAGGGCCAGCTGCAGCCCTCCTGATTGTGACAACAGGAACCTTTTATTATTCCATCAAACTCCAGGAGGAAATAGTTTAAACATCTGCAGCTTTTGGACAGAATTCATGCACCCAGAAATCCAGCCTAGATGCTACTGCTGACTGATGGAGTCTTTTCTTTAAGCTGAGAAGTGACCATTAGGGAAACTGAACCATGCAGAAATGAGACATTGTCAGCATCCGGCTTAGCCTCCCGAGCTGCTGCCTCAGCCCAGAAATGGCCCTTCCCCAGAATGTGTCGACCCCACATCGTGAGATAGTTCTACGAAGAGCTTGGATGCCCCAGCCATGTTTTCTTGCTCTGTGTAGCCAGCTGAAATGGTAAAAGGCGGCCAGGCTGCTACTGCTAAGTGCTCCAGAGGCCTTCCTCTCAGCAGTCCTGTAGCTTCACTCAGGGATCTGCTAAAGCCTTGACCTCATGTACCTCCCTGTGCTGTCTGGGAACCCATGAGGGACCCCAGAAATTTATAGGCCCTCCAAATCAGGACTGACTTGACTGCAGAGAGGCCCCCAGGATACCTTGGGTCAACATAGAGCCCCAGGCTGCTCCACTGTGGCCCCATTGATGTGGTCCTGTGGGCTTCCATGATAACCTCTCATCTCCAGGGAAGAACTAATGGCAGCAGTGCAAATTCTGCTTCTAAGAAATAAGGAAGAAACATCTGTTAAACTCACAGCCATTGTGAGTGACTGTGGGCTTCCACTGACCACCCCTACCCCTCTCCTTCCCACCCCCCCAAAAAAATCTGTAGCCTGGAACACTACAGAGGTAACTAGGGCTAAGTAAGGGATGACCGGCATGTGTGTTAAGGTAGCTTTTAGCTTTTGATGAACACGATCGATTCTTCCGAAATGTGTTGGGCATTCCTTCTCTGTGGGGTCAGATATATAGAAGTCCTACCAGCCCCCTGCCCAAGCCATCCTTCCTTCTAGAGTTTCATCTTGTGTATACTTTTTGTTGTGTTTGTTAAGAGATATGATTGGTTCGGTTTAACAGAGTGTTTCTGAGGGTGCAGTTATAGTGGAAAGACATGTAGACTTGAGGTCAGAGGACTCAGGAGACATGGATTTGAGTTCCAACTCTTCAAGTGGCCTTGGATAAGTCACTTCTCTCTGGTCTCAGTGTCTTCACCCATAAAATCAGGGGGTTGAACAGATGATCTTTAAAATCCCTTCTAGCTTGACTCATCTGAGAGAATTCTGTTAGCAAGGCCATTTAGTTCAAGGCCCTTTGGATGACTGTGATAAATCTAAGGCCTAGAGGAACAGAGGTGACATGTAGGAATTTTAAAACTCCCCGTGTATTTGCAGAGCGATGTTTGGAAAAGGAATGAATTCGTGGATGTGATTTTACAGTCTGTATGCCTGTCTAGACAGCTTTCAGAGAGTCACTGAAGCTGTTTGTAAAACAGTTGGTAAATGGGAAACCGTTATCAAAGTAACCCTAATTCTTGGGGTGAACAAAGCAGGTGAATGACATGAAGAGCTCGCTTATTGTCCCCTGGTTGCGATCAGTTGCAGTGTAGGGCATGTGATCACTTAATTACGTCAAAGGGCTTCTTATCATGGGGCTGGGAGTGGGTTCGAGGGGCCAGAAATTGCTCACATGCTGCCTTTTTGACTCCCCAGCCAAAGAAGCCAAAAGTCCCAGAAAACCCATTTCATGGAATCATTTCCAAGTGTTTTGAGCCTCATCTCTACGTGTATATTGAATCCCAGGACAAGTAAGTTATGAGCATTTTTTGTTCTTTCTCTTACCAGTGCATTTTGATCTCTAACCAGCTGTTGGGTCTCCCTACAATCTGCTTTCCACGTTTAACATTACAATGGTGTAGCCTCTTCCAGGTGTTGGAGGAGAGAGACAGCAGGTCCCAGCCCCTGAAAATCCGTTAAGGGCATTTCATTTCCTAAACATTGGTAGCCGTGAATTTTACAGTTTGTTGTATTTAGAAATCACAGGTGCTTACGTGTACCTCTTAGGAACCTACAGTGAGGCCCTCATCTCCCCACCTCAGTAGCATGGGTGCCAAGCTCCTCACGGCCAGCTCCATGCCTGCCAAGACTCAGGACTTTTTTAGGTGCTGGGCATTTGGGGAATGCAGCAAGAGGAAAATGTGCCATCTCATGTGATGCTGTTTGCAAACAACTGGGCTGAGGAGAAGGCAAAAATCATTTTACCAGCCACCAGCGTGAATGTGATTACCTTGTGAAATGTCAGCAGCAGATGAGAGCTGCTGCCCCAGTGGAACAAACTGCTGATGGCTGTTTTATGTCAGGGGTCATATTTTCAAAAGATCACTTTTCTAGCTGAGATGCTGCTGTCCTTGCTGAGGGTGTTGAGTGAATCTTTGGAGGAGCTCGGGATACTTAAGGCGTTAGGAGGATTCTCTAGTGGGGAGGAATGGGTGGGGGGGTACAGAAGGGAGGACGCAGGAAAATATTTAACTTCTGAGCTTAAAATAATTTTTCTAGGATTTGGCAGACTCCTCTTTCCTGGACTATTGCAAGAGTTGAACTATGCGGAGAAAAAAATGAAAAAATGTTCTTCCTACCCTCTGCAGAGAGGATTATGCTATGGGCGGTATTATCTCTCATCTGCTTTTCATAGAAGTCTGTTTTTCTATCTTTCCCCTTACCCCAGTAACGGAAATATTTCTTATTAGACTTGTAATCCCAGAAAATGGATGAATACAAGTTACTACACTTAAAAATATTCTTTTGTGCTCAATTTCTTTCCCCTCGATTGCACTTTTCAAACACCTCTTTTCCTGCTATCTGATCATTGCATGTAATCGTGGCAGTTCAACCTAAAGGCAGTGGGCAGGTAGGCTAGTTAAGTTTTTTATTTCCACTTTTTTTTTGTTTTGGCTAAAAATAATTGGGCCTCTTTATGCTGGCAGATTGTTTGTTTACCCATTCAACAAACTCTGGACTTGGAGCTCTGAAGTCACTGATTGTATTGTAATATTAAGTTGCAGAGAAACCCTCCTACCCCACCTCAGACTGGAGATCAGATTCTACCTTGGTTCCAGGCCCAAAACTTCTGATCACTCTGATCTGATATCAGCTAACTACTCATTTTTCAAAAGCCTGAATGGCATAGATTGAAATGCACAAAGCATATGCCTGTAAGTGCTGTGTCTGGACCTGAAACCAACTTGACCTTCCCGGAGGTGTTTTCCCATCGGCATGGCTCTGATATCCACTCTCCTGTTTTGACCAAGGGGTCTCACAAAGCACTCACTGTTTGTGATGCTTTGGGCAGGGAGCCAGATCACTCCTCCACAGAGGTTCTCCTTTTCCCCTGTGAAAAATGAAGTGCTCCCTGCTCTGACTGTTTTTGGCCTCACTGTGGGGATGTTACCATAGCACTGGGAGATCAGCAGAAGTTATTCATATGAGACCTGTGAGCTGGAATAGGTAATGCTCCTGTAGGATCAGAGCAGGCGGCTAGAGCAGAAGGAATCCTAGAACCACAGAATCCTAGAACTGGAAGGGCCCTTAGAAGTCCTCTGGTCCAGTCCCCTTCTTTTACAGAGAGAGAAACTGAGGCCCAAAAGATTAAGGTAATAAGTACTAGGACCTGGGTTCTCAGGACTTAATGCTGTTATCAGTTCTCTTTCATGTCAAATGAAAGTACTGGATTAGGTCATCTTAAAGGTTCCTTCTGGTACAGATATTCTATCCTAAATATAAATGCTTCAAGGTGAGATGGAGGAAATTTACTGCTTTTGGTTTCTTCTACTTATTCCCTTTTTCCTTTTGCCTTGAGCAGCTCAGCCAGTGGCAGCTAGTGACTCTTGTGGCTGGTCCCTGGGCTCACCCCACTTTTGTCTCTCACCCTCAATCCTATCAGTAGCGAAATATTATTGATCCTGCCTCCAGAACATGTTTTATGTATGTCCCTTTTTGTCCACTCACTGTCCACTGCCACCACCCTAGTCAGGCTAGATTGTTACAATAATCTGCTCACTGGTTTTCTAGTCTGTCCTATAATCTTTGCTCCCTCCAATCCGTCCTTCACACAGCTACCAAAATAATTTTGCTAAGGTGCAGGACTTTCTGGGTCACCATCCCCCTGTCAGAAACCTATAGTAGCTCCCTATTGCCTGTAGGATGAAAGGCAAATTGCTTAGCCTAGTATTTAAGGCACTTCACAGTCTCCTTCCAAACCACCTTTTCAGCTTTTTTCAATGTGATTCCTCTCCTTATGCTGCTCTTCATTGTAAACAAAGGGAACTCTTACCCCTTCCCCATTTCTGTCCTGCACTCTCTTGCTCCTGTGTCTTTGTGTAGGCCATCCATTGTATCTAGAACATTCCATATTTCCACAGGTTGCAGTCCTTCTCTCACTCCAAGACCCAATACAGGAGCCGTTTCCTTCATAAAGACTTCCTTGATCTCTCTTCCCTTTCCTTCCATTGGAAAGCCAGTCTTCCCATTGGCAGATTTTTTCAATCATTCTTTTCCCTTATCACATTTTACTTGGTTTCATACTTGTTTGTGAACATTTTACTCTCCCTATTAAATTGTAATTGTGACTTCCTGGAGTCATGAACTGTTTCATGTGTGTCTTTCATGTGTGAGAAGCTCTCTAGCTTCGTCAGGTAGGTGTAATGAGTATGGGTTAGTTTGAAACATCTCCTGACTCGCTGGTATTAGTGGAGGAGGCTGCTTCAATCATGGGCCCACCAGTCATCCTGAAGCTGGGTGCCTCTCTTAGATACCTTCTGAACCACCCCAAAGGGCAACATAGAGCAAGAGACGGGGAGAGGTAGTCTGATATGTCATGGAAGCAGGGTGTGGAAAGAGTCAATAACTAAGGGTAAGGAACAAAAAAGCGAGCATGGTGGGAGAACAGAAAAGAGGTGATTGAGAAGGGGGGAATACCAGATAGGCACATGAGGGTGACAAGGATACAGTGATGACAAACAAGAGGAGCCTGGTGGTTGTCAACTGCCAGGCCATAGTATTGGTCATTACCATTGCCTGCCCTCTGCTCCTTCTCCCCCAAGGATCTTTTAATCTCATTTAAAAAAACAGTGGCTACAGCCCTTATCATCTTAAGCCTCAGGCTTACCCCACTTACCTTCTTATGTTTCTGATTCCTACTCACCAAGGTGAGCACAACTGTCTCCAGGGCAGCTCATGGTCATCTGTGTCTTCATCCCCTGCCTGATTCTTGTCTGTGTCCTTCCATCAGGCCTCCATAGAGGAAGTGTCCAGTGCATTGAAGGTCTTCCTCCAGGTCTTTTAGTATTTCATCAGTATCAGTATAACACTCAGACTAGCCGCATGTACCTTTGCTTTCACTGAATGACCAGCCTGGATCCTTTTATGCTCATACTGATTATGACACTAAGTCAGTTTGCATTGTTTGCAAATTTGTAAATGCCTCCCCCACCCCACACCTCTTCATTTACCCACCATATGTCTGTTAACCTGGCTCAGTGTGTACATTCTGAGCTCTTTGAGGACAGAGAACATGTCTTCTCGATCTTTTGCCTCTTCCTGAGTCGCCTGGTACAACATTCCATAGGTGTTCAATCAGTATTACTAACTACTTGTCCATCCTGTTGCTGTTAATTTCATTCTAACATCTCTCCAGCATCCCATCTGGCTTTGAGTCCAATTTCCTGAATACCTCCCTAGTGATTGGGAGATCCCAGCAGAAGGTTAGGGAAGGCAATGCTGCTAGAGTCTGAAGGAGACCAGAACCAGACTCTTTGAGCAGACCCCATAGGGAGGAGGTATCCAGTTACAGAGTTGTCCCTGTGGCCATCTCTTTTAGCAGTGCTGTGCAGACCTTCCCTTAATTCTAGGACCTGAGGTTGAAAAATATTAGCCACAATCTGGAAATTATTTTGGAACTATGCTCCAAAAGCATTACTGTGCATGTTCTTTGACCCAGTGATAATCTATAGGCCTGTATCCCAAAGAGATCAGAGAAAAAAGAAAGGAACTCATGTACAGAATGTTTTTTATAGTATCCCTCTTCGTAGTTGCAAGGAACTAAACTAAAGAAGTGTCTTTTATTTGGGAAGTGAATGAATAAATTATCACGAGTAAATATAATGGGATATGATTGAGAGCAGATGGTATCAGAGAAAGCTGGGAAGACTTGTATGAATTGATGCAGATTGAAATCAGCAGAAACAGAGCAAGTGACACACTGACAACAGCATTGTCAAATGACAAACACCTTGGAAAGACTGAAGAGCTCTCATTAGCCCAGTGAGCATCCATAACTGCAGAGAACCACGGATGAGATGTGACGGCCACCTCCTAACGGAGAGGCAATAGACTCAGGGTGCAGAATGAATCTTACTTTTGGACGTGGCCAGTGTGGGAATTTGTTTTGCTTTACTATGCATGATTGTTTTACATTTTTCCCTCAGTAGTTTGATGGGGGTGGGGTAGAGAGACTTATTTTTTGTTCATTTAAGAACACATGTGTATATGTATATATATGCACGTATATACATGTGTGCATGTGTGAATGTATGTGTGTGAGAGAGAGAGAGAGAGAGAGAGCATAAGACATCATTTTTGGACGCGGCTGCCGACTACGTGTATTTGCTAGAAAGTCTTGTCTCTCCCTGCAACTCCTGTAACTCCACGGTGGGGTAGGAGAAGGAGAGAACATAAATGCTTGTTAATTGAACCAAAAAAAAAATTTAAAATGAAAGTGACATTTAAAAAAAGAAAAGAAAAATATTAGCCA